TTATTTACTTTGGCCTTTTTGGAAACACAGGAAGGAGCAATCAGCTAAGTGAGTTTAGTGCTAGGAAAAAATCTTTCATTCCTTTAGAGACAGCATGAAAAGTCAGCTGAGTACAAAACATAGAGAGGAAAACAAGAAGAAGAGAGGGACAAAACCTAGAAGAGATAATGGATGTCTATTCTATTAACATTTCTCTATCTGTATAATGGATCTGTTTTATGTGTTTTCTTCTCAATTCAGAGGGCCCCCTGCCTGTCTTTGCCTAGGGCCCGGAATTTCCTAAATCCACCCCTGTTTACAATTCCAGATTGACGTTAGACATAGACTTAGACTCAACTTTATTTCTCCGTTGGGATTACTCCTTCAGGGAAATTCTGGCTCCAATAGCCTATATAGAGTACAAAGCGTTAAAGCAAAATGCGATTAAAGATAAAAATATGACAGACAATATAAAAAAAAGGTATATCGTACAAAAAAAGCATAAAATAAGAAAAAGGTTGTAATGTCCTGGAATATGTTTCCCTTATATATAAAAATATCTGCACAGTATAGAGCTAACGGAAGACTGCATAGTGGTTGACTTGGGTTTTTGCACTTATAAATAAGTTTGAAGACTAGTCAATAAAGGCACCTAAAACAAGAACATAAGTGTAAGTTTGATTTAGTCCACTAGGGGGTGGTAGTACACTACTATTGTTGTCATTCTGAAACAGTTGGATTTAATAATGGCTTTTAAATTAAATTTGTTCAATAAATGGGATAATAATGTTGTTTGGTTGGCTTTCTAGTTGCTCCCTAATCACACTCAGCAAATTATTTTATGTCAATTTGCAAATCAATGTTAATAGAAAAGTGATTAATTACAGAACAAAAAGTTGTTTCCATTTTGTCCTTTTTGAGGATATCTAATTAAATATTATGTCAAATTTTCCGTGATGAACCAATAAAGTGACGCTCATCTTTGGAGCAGCATCTGCTGTAGCTGCAGCGCTGCAGCAGGAGCTGGAAGAGAAACTGTCTTTATTCTTTATTAGGATGGAAAAGATGTCAGAAGCTCCAGAGAAACGGAGCTTTACGCGCTGAGGAGGTGGGATAGCAGTAAGGCTGCAGCACCACAGTGAAATTTGCAGTCACCAGGGCGGTGGTGGTGACAGAGCAAAGGAAGAAAGGAGAGAGGGAGAGGGGAGCAGATACTTGGGAACACATCAGAGCAGGACAGACAGTTGAGTGTGAGGCGCTCAGCCGGCGAAGGACGCGGAGCAGGAAGGTAGGACAGGAGCCCATCATCCAGCTGAGCTTCATTTAGGAAAAGTTAGAAAATCCATTTTTCATTTACTGCAACATTTACTGTCTGTTTGAACCTGCTGTAATTCGTGACTTTTAATTAGATATTTTCTATTTCTATTTACCTTTATTTGAGTTTGGAACATTTATAATAATTTTCTAACAGTTAATAGACAATCTAAGGTGATTTAGGTCCAAAAACAAAGAGTGTTTGGATTCTTGTTAATGAAATATAATGATGTTGCTTCAGGGTCATTTTGTGCAGTTTGGATAATGATCGTTTGACATTACAGTTTGCTTCAGATCCGTTTCAATGTTGAGGTGGTGCGTCTGCAGAGGTGTCAGGTGGACGCTGTGATCTCAGGTAGCCAGGTGCTCCTCTATGGTGACCCAAGAGTGCCACAATCCAGTTAAAAAGTTGTAAAGTAATTTGAAAAGATGATGATTTGACTTAAAGTTTATATTCAGGTCAATTTAATTGATTTGTAATACATTTAACACAAAAACAAAAAAAAGCATCCTCCTCTTTAGGCACTTTGCTATAGGAGTAAATCCTATCCACTGATATATAATAAGGTTATGATAATAAAATTCTAAACTTGATATCAATACCCAGGAAACTATTTGATACACAAGGGGTAATTCATTAAAAATCAGTGGGGGTCTGTATGGAAGAGGATTAGGGCCACTGGAAAAAAAAAAAAAAAGTTAACTGATTTTTTTT